AACACAGGAAGGCTTAGGAGGTGTTTTTTGTTTTTTGTTTTGTTTTTTCCAAGACAGGGTTTCTCTGTAGCTTTGGAGCCTATCCTGGACTAGCTCTTGTAGAGGAGGCTGGCCTCATACTCACAGGGATCCACCTGCCTCTGCCTCCAAGTGCTGGGATTAAAGGCGCAAGGCGTGTGCCACCACTGCCTGGCTAGGTGTGATCTTTTGGGAGGTGTGTCACTGAGGATAGGCTCTGAGGTTTCAAAAGTTCATGCCATTCCCAGTTAACTGTCTATTGGTCATCTCAAAATGTTAGCTCTCAGATACTACACCAGCACCAATACTGCCTGCTGCCTTGTTCCCCACCATGTCGTCGACGGACTCACCCTTTCTTCGATAAGTTACCGTGCTTGGTCATGGTGCTTTGTAACAGCAGTAGATAAGTATGTAAGACAGTCTACTCGGTCTTTTATCATCAAAATTTTTGTTTTACTATAAGGTGTCCATGCATCTTATAGTAAATTAATTTTTAGATTTTATTTTAGGTGTTACAAGTAGGTGGCTTTCTTGGTTTCTTTTCCAGATAATTCACTATTAGCATCTAACAATGCTACCAATTTTTCTATATTGATTTTCTATCCTTTAACAGTATCTTTGGGAGTTTCTACCTGTAACATTCATGTCATCTTCCATAGTAAAAATTTTACTTCCTCCTTTTCAATTCAGATGTCTTCTTTTTCTTTCTCTTGCTTCATTGTTCTGGCTAGGATGTACAGCATTTTTAATAAAGGTGGAAATAGTCTCCTGTCCTGTTCTTGATCTTCAAAGAGAAAGTGAGCTCCTTGTCCCATTTGGTGCATTAGCCATACACTTGTATCCAACACTATATATAGTTATATTACTCCTATATTAGCTCATTCAATATATCAAGTTTTATCAAATGCCATTTCTTTTTGTTTTTTCGAGACAGGGTTTCTCTACCTTTGGAGCCTGTCCTGGAACTAGCTCTTGTAGAGGAGGCTGGCCTCAAATTCAGAGATCTGCCTGCCTCTGCCTCCTGAGTGCTGCTGGGATTAGAGGCGTACACCACCACCACCCAGCTGAAATGCCATTTCTACATGTACCAAATAACCATGCTTTTTGTCTTTAACTAATGTGCTATGTCATACTTACTGATTTGCGTTATGTTAAACCATCTTTGAAACCCTGGAATGAATTCCACTTGATAGTAGAAAATTGTTTTAATTTGCTTTTGGATTTGGTTTTCTACTTTTACCGAGTTCTGCATCCATGTTCATATGCACACTGTTCATTGAGTGCCTTTGTATAGTTTTACTATATTGGTAATATTGGCCCTGGAGAATGAGTTTGAAAGACTGCCTTTTTTGCCCCCTTCATGTACTTTTTTTAAAAAATATTTATTTATTATGTATACAATGTTCTGTCTGTGTGTATGCCTGCAGGCCAGAAGAGGGCACCAGACCTCATTACAGATGGTTGTGAGCCACCATGTGGTTGCTGGGAATTGAACTCAGGACCTTTGGAAGAGCAGGCAATGCTCTTAACCACTGAGCCATCTCTCCAGCCCCCCTCCTTCATGTACTTTTGAAAAAAATGAGCTCACATTAGTCCTCCTTCAAATGCTTAGAAAATTAAAGCAGTGAAGGGTTTTTTTCTTTTGGAGGGGGGGCTTATTACTGATTAAGTTTCATTAATCTTTGGTCTGTTTAGGCTTTCTACATCAATTAATCTCAGAAATGCTGAATTTTTCTTCTAAGTTATCAATTATGTATAGCTATTCACAATTACTTCTGAAATATGAATTATAACATGTCCATTTCCCGAGTACTGTTGTGTCCTTCCCCACCCCCAGCTTGTTAAATTTTTTTGTTAAAGCTCGGCCTTCATTTATTTCCACTCTAACCTTTTTTCCCTTTTACCAATTTGGAAATTGGAACGTCCACTTTTTGTTCTTTTAGATATAGTAAGTTGAGGTTTTTCTGCTTTCATGACATAGATACTGGTTACAATAAACTCTCCTCTTAGTATATACTGTTTTAGTATTTGTTTCATGAAAATTTTCAATTTTCTATTTTCCTTAATCTACTGTAGTATAAATTCTTTAGTTTCCATACATGTGCTTGTATAGTTTGTAACTTTTTTTTTTTTTTTTTTTTTTGGTTTTTTTGAGACAGGGTTTCTCTGTGGCTTTGGAGCCTGTCCTGTAACATTTTTCTAGTTTTATTTCATCATGGTTGACAAAGACATGATTCTCAACTTTTTTTTCTTCCAGGACAGGGTTTCCCAGCGTAGCTTTGGTGCCCATCCTGACCTAGCACTTGTAGACCAGGATGGCCTCGAACTCAGAGATCCACCTGCCTCTGCCTCTTGGGATTAAAGGTGTGGTGCCACGAACGCCCAGCTCATTTTCAACTTTTAAAGAAAATTTGCTGGCAATCTGTTTTGTGAAACTACCATGTTATCTGCTCTGGAGAATGTTCCATTTTCTGCTGAGAACATGCACTCAGCAGCTGTTGGAACATTTTATAAATCTGTTTGGTTTAGAATGCTGGATTATTAAAAGCTCTCCTATTAGTTTATTAATATTTATGTATCTGGATGTTCTGATGCTGAGTTCTTTTATATTCTGAGACACATTCAAGGTTTTTTCCTCTTAGTGAATTATTCCTTTTAGCATTTACAGCTTTCTTACTGGTGACTTTTCCATTCTCAATCAAGGTCTATTCTTGCTCCTTCAGATTCCATTCATAGGAGATACTTTTCCACCCCTCCCATTTCAGTTTCTATCCTTGAAGGTTTAAGTTTTTTGTTGTTTTTTTGAGACAGGGTTTTTCCATAGCTTAGGAACCTGTCCTGGCACTTGCTCTATAGACTAGGCTGGCCTCAAATTCAAAGTTCCACCTGCCTCTGCCTCAAGTGCTGGGACTATAAGCATCAGCTGCCATCACCACCTGGCAGTTTCTTACACAGTATATTTTTGAATCTTACTCTGTGTTATCTGGAGAACTTCATCAATCTACATTTATTATCAGAGGCAGACCTACTGTTGCTGTTTTTCTACTTGTAGTTTCCTTCTCCCGTCCTCTTCTTTACATAGCCTTCCTTGTGCGGAGGCCAATTTATTAAGCAGGCTATTTCAGACTCCTTGCTTGGTGTTTGTTGTTGGTTTGTTTTTTCCTTATGGATAACATGAATTTTAAATTATAATTTAAAATTATAATTTATACTGAAATGATAGGTGCATAACAAATTATAAAGAAAAGAAACAGATACCACCTACAAAAAAATAATCTTGGCCATCAAGATGGCTATTGGTAAAGCCAAGCCCAACAGACACCACTATATGCATACGCTGAATTCCCTTTTAGTTTCTGTGACCGTGATATAAGTTATCTAGGAGGAGGGAACCTGTTGTAGTTTCTGTCCCGCCAGGTCCCACAGCCTTTCAGTCCCAACGAAACACAGAGGCCTACATAAGTTATAAATCAGTTGGCCTATTAGCTTAAGATTCTTAAATTAGCCCACAAGTTTTGTCCATGTTAGCCATGTGGCTTGGTACCTTTTCTCAGTGAGGAATTCTCATCTTGCTTCCTCTGTGTCTGGGTTATGACTATAAACTCTTTCCTCTTCCCAGAATTCTCCTGTTCTCATTGCCCCGCCTCTACTTCCTGCCTGGCTACTAGCCAGTCAGCGTTTTATTAAAGCAATACAAAACCACTGTCACACAGGAGGAATCTCAGTGGGAAAATACTCCCACCACAGATTGGTCTGCAAGGAAGTCTGAGGCATTGAGCACTAAATTGAGAGCCCAGTCTAGACCAATTTAGGTGGTACCACCCCTAGGGTCCTGGGTTAAGAGAGCAGGCTAGCAACACAAAGTGTAAAGCAAGCAAAGCAGCAGTCTTCCATGGCCTGTTTCAGGTCCTGCTGATTTTACCCAGTGGTGGAGTAACAGGAGTTTTTTGTTTTTTTTTTTTTTTTTTTTTTTTTTTTTTTTTTTTTGGTTTTTCGAGACAGGGTTTCTCTGTATCTTTTGGAGCCTGCCCTAGAACTAGCTCTTGTAGAGGAGGCTGGCCTTGAACTCAGAGATCCTCCTGTCTCTGCTCCCCAAGTGCTGGGATTAGAGGTGTGCGCCACTACCGCCTGGAGTAACATGCGATTTCTAAACCGAAATAAACCCACTTTCCTTCTCAAAGACAGTCATGGTCTCTATTACAGAAACAGAAAGCAAACTAAGACACTGCTCAAACTCCTGACCCACAGAACACATTACTAACAGTAAAGTTACACTGGGATCTCAGATTTGGCACCTTTCCTCATTTGGTAAATGTTGAACCAGCCTGGGGAAATGAAGAGGGAACTGTATTTGCAAGGTAGTATTTGCTTGTGCAAACTCAAAGACTCAAATGTAATCACATTTAATACAAAGTACAAACAAATTAGCTTTAGTAATACATCTGTGAATAATGGTAGTAGCTACTAATGAAAAGTCAGAACATTTGAGAAGGAGAGAAGGAGCTCAGGTTGAAGGCCAGCATACACAGTATTATTGGGTGAGGTGGACACAGCACAAAATAGAAAAGCACAAGTTTTAAAGTATATCATTTTTATTGACAATGTTAGTCAATTATCCTAACAACTACTTTCATTCATACTGTCAAGTTACGTGCTGTATAATGAATGAGCCAATCAATTCAATACTTCCCTCATTATACAGGAAACACATAAATATTACATATTCACAGCATTAAAGCCAAATATCCAAAAAGGTTTGCTAAATGCTTTCTTTCAAATATAATGAGAAAAGCTGTCCCTCTCCATGTCAAAGAAGATTAAACAAAGGATGACTATAATTATAAAACTCTGCTTTCCAAAACTTCCCAGTGACCAAAATGTAAGTAAGATACATCAACAACTAAGTGTACTTTGGAAATCTCAAGTTCCCGTTAGAAGGCTGTAACAGACACTGGAGCCGCGCTGCTGTTTACTGATCATCAATGCGAACACCAGGACACCTGCAGTGTTTCCACTTACACCAGACCAAGGTAGGAAGGAAATGGTACGGTGGTATAATAAGGCCCTAAGAAAGGCAGCAGGTCGTATAGTTACCTCCTTGTGGGCAAAATCCCTGCCCTAAAACTATGCAACCTACTACCTCTTCCTAGGAACCCATTTTATTCTTGCTGGTCTTCTACGTGGCAGATGCTTCAAACATGTTAAATCAGGCCTTTAAGTTGTTTCAAATCCAACCACTTAGAACTCTTTCACTGATGTTCTTAAAAGCTCTTGGCCACCTGATCTTGGCAAAAATCCAAAAAGGTATTGATTAAAAAACAAAAACAAACTAAATTACAAAATTAAAATTAATCCAATTACATGAGGATAAAAAAGAGTCTAATACTCCGGCCAATGCATACTAGAGTCACTTTTAGTTAAAAAAATTATCAAAACTCAAATATCAAGTCTCATAAAATGACCTCTTGGTAAACAGAAAATTACCAGACAATCTATATAAATCTTTCCTGTGATCTATCAATTGAAACAAATGAACATAAAGCTTGTCCCATTCAGGCCACATGCTTCTTACAGTTAGCATCTCACTAACCCCAGGAATTATTTCAATTTTTGATGCCTGAATTATTTATAACAGAAGCAAATTTTGATCATGACTTTTGCCACTGGTAAAAAACAACACTCTCCATAGTTTCTTTTTTACAAAATATACCAGTGGTTTTACAAGTAGACGAGTTCTCCAAATTCCATCTACTTGGAGTAATAAGGATGTTAGTCCTCATGCAATTCATAACCAAAATATAAAGTGATGTCTCCAGGGCTCAGTAAAGGATGCTTCAAAACCATGAACTGGTAGATATATATCCATGCTGAAAGGATAAGGAGCAGAAAATCAAATTCCTCAGCTACTTGCAACACATTCAACAGGTTATACATATTGTCAACTAAAGAGCAAAGAATTTCTTATACATTTCTGCTTTTCTTTGGTATTATTAAGTCCCCTATGCTCCTCAATGTTTTATATGTCAAATTTAGAACAAAGACCAACTTTCCAAAGTGTTTGTCTATGCCAGATATTAAATGAAAAGTTTTTCCTGTAACAATATAAACCCTCACAAATCCTTCATCTATTATAATCAGACACCACCATATGCATACCCTGAATTCCCCTTTGTTCTAGTTTTCTGTCAGCCTGATACAAGGTATCTAGGAAGAGGAAAATACTCCCATCACAATCACAGATTGGTCTGCAAGAAAGTGCATTAAGCACTAGATCAGAAGAGCCCAATGTAATGGTTCAGGTCAAATCAAAAGGACAGTTCATAGTGACTATGACAGAGCCCTGCAATTATAATTAGACGTTATAATAGCTCATGCCTTCCACATCTGAACTTTCCCCCTTCACTCCAAATTGTTTTTGAACAGCAAACACTTTAAAACCTGGAGACTTTGGCTTGCATTTAAAATGCCCCAAAGATCTACTTTGATCACTAGAAAAAGTTGAAACATGAGCCCATTAATGGTGCTAACATTCAAGCAACCTTTTCTAATATTCCTGTCAGGTTCTTTAAAAGTATCAATTAGGGTCTTTGCCACCTGAGTTTTGGGTGATTGGCTTGTTTTGTGGGCAACTAAGGTCATAGCAGAGCCAGGACAAAAGTCAGAGCCCCTCTGTCCTTTTGCTGGCCAGCAAAGTCTGCCCAAACCAACATACCAATCAAGTAATATCAATGCCTACAGCATTCTAAGCATGGAAATAGGAAAAGCAATCTGATTTCAATCTAGCCCAGAAGTACCCTTTCCAACTGTATGTCCATTTACCCGAGACATCTCTACCTGAGCAGAAATGTAGAGCAGTGAATCTTTTCATTATCCCACAGGGCCTGGTCCTAGATATTCGCTTTTCCCACTCAGACATTTGTCAACATTTCCTGAAACATGCACACTAAAAATGTTACCAACGTTCATTGCACTTTGAGGAAATTAACTGTAAAACAAAAAAAGTCAAAATTCACCTAAGTTTTTAACACACTCTAGGTAAAAACAATGCAGCAAGTCTACTCCTCAGGGAAGGCAATAGATTGTATAGTTATCTCCTGAACAGGGTAAAATCACTACCCCACAACTATACAATCTACTACCTCACTCTGACAGAGCAATTTTTTTCTTCTTGAATAAACACCAATCTCAAGAAAGATAAAACATTAAATTATCAACATCAATAAAAATTAAATCCTTACTGACACAGAAAACACACTGAGTAAAAACTTGCCCCATTCTCATTGCCTACTTGTTCATTTTTTTAATCACTAAAAGACATGTACATCATAAACAAATGCCTCAGTTAGCTCTTAGTCTTCTGAGCCCCCATGAATGCAGACTTTTCCATCACCTTAGGAAAGACAGTAGATTGTATAGTTATCTCCCAGTGGTGGGTGTGACCCTAAAACTATACAACCTACTACCTCATCCCACAGTGAAGAGAACATTTAGGGTGAATGATGTTCAGGAATCACAGCTGAGCACCACAGGAAGCCGCTCTTTTTCGTATTCCTGGTTCCCTGCATAATAAAGAAAAAGAAATATGTTTAATTGAACAGTTACACGTATGACCTATGTTGCAGTTTTATTATGACTTTATACAATACACTTGTAACATACTTCAGTATGTTACAAGATCTTGAATGCCTCTAATCTAAAAGCCTAAAGTTTAGATGACCTCTAAAAGATGAGGTCATCAAATTAAAGTTTATAGCTGACAAATTATCTTCAAGCAGTAGATAAAGATGTTTATGAGGCATAAATGAATTGTGTTCAGACTTGGGTCCCATTCCCAAGATCTCATTAGATATATGCAAATAATCTAAAACACTCTAAGTAATAATTTAAAAAACCCTTCCCAGTCTTTATCTCAGATAAAGAACCAGTCTTATCTGTCTTAGCAACTTTTAGTCTTTTTCTGTAACTGCTAGAAATTAAAAAAAAAAAAATCAAATCTATTTACTCCTGGTTAAGACATTATGAAAGAACCCAATCTCACAATATCCATGACTTCAAAATCTAAAAACCTTACATGCCATATATAATCTATTACTAGATGCACCAATGTACAAAGGAATGACATCTGTTTTAAAAGAACCTGCTTATTCCACTTAGCAAATACTTAATGGTCTCAGAAAAACAGAAATAGCTAACAGTGTTTCTCTTAGGACCCTTCCTTTAGCTAAACAGGTTTCATATGGATGGAATTTATAAAATCCAAACAACATGACCAGCACCAGTTTACAATAAAAATCCCAACACCCCTAGTCTACATCATATTAATTAGTAGTCTTCAATTGCAGGCATCAATATTTAAGTAGCTACTATAAAAATTTCAGTAGGCACTAAATTAAACACTGAAGATTAATAAAAACTCAGAGAAAGAAATTGGGGTTCAATCTGAAGATCTGAAAAAACAAAGCAGCCAGCCACTGGCTTTTACCTCGACTTCAGTTCAAATTGGCGATCTTGCCTCCAGGAATTTCAGAATGAGAAGGAGGGCTGTCTCCTACTGTTTTATAATCCTCTCTAGTTCTGGGATTAAAGGTATGCACCACCACTGCCTGGTCTGTAAGGTTAACCAGTGGGGCTGTTTTACTCTGATCTTCAGGCAAGCTTTATATATTAAAATACAACTGAAATGCTACTACACAAAATTTTGTAATGGACCTAGTAGTGAAGACACCCATTTTACTACAAATATAAGCAAAAATATGTAATTCAATGTCATACAAGTTTAGAGTTCAGAAACAAAGCCATGTACTAGGATCAACAGGTTCTACAGTGAGAGTACCAAGGAGGATGGGGGCAGGACTGCCACAAATCTGAGGCCAAACCAGGCTACAAAATTAAATCCCATCTCAAAAAGCCAGGTAGACTATTCAATGGAGTAAGAATTGTTTAGCCACTGCTGGGATAGTTACTTATTTAGAAGCAGAGGTTACCCTGGACCCCCATCTACCACAACCTACAGAAGTAACAGCATTAAGTAACTTAATAAAAGGACAATGTAATTATTGCAAAGACATGGCTCATAAACAAATATCCAATAAGTGCATGAAAAGATCAATATCATTCATTAGTCATTAGGAAAACACCTATCCAAAACATGGCACACCACCTCACATCCATTAAAGCTACTAGTGAAGAGGAAATGAAGATTAGAGATGTTCAGTGTGTAAGGGTGCCTATCCACAAGCCTGAAGAACTAAATTCAATCTTTAGGATCCACAGTTGAAGAACTGATTTCCCTAAGTCAGCCAGTCTCAGCATCTCTCAGTCTCTCTCTCTCACACACAATAACATGTGAGTTTTCTTTAAAAGTTATTAACAAGAGCTAGAGAGATTGCACACAAAGACTTCTGTTGAGAATAATGAAGACAAAGCTGCATTTAAGTTTAATAAATCATTTAATCCCAGCACTCGGGAGGCAGAGGCAGGTGGATCTCTGTGAGTTCGAGACCAGCCTGGTCTACAGAGCTAGTTCCAGGACAGGTTCCAAAGCCACAGAGAAACCCTGTCTCGAAAAACCAAAAATAAATAAATAAATAAAGTTAGAGATCCTGGAATACTACACCTAAATCCCTCCCAATTTCCCAGATGATGACTGGGAATACCAAAAGATGCATGCAAAAATGGCTTCTGATCACCAGGACGAAAGCTCCTGTCAGAAACATTCTGAGCATCACATTAAGTATCTTTAAAAACAAACCAGTGATGGTTTGTTTATAAGATTATCTTATCTAGGGCTGGAGAGATGGCTCAGTGGTTAAGAGTATCGACTGCTCCTCCAGAGGTCCTGAGTTCAATTTCCAGCAACCACATGGTGGCTCACAACCATCTGCAATGAGATTTGGTGCCCTCTTTTGGCCTGTAGGAATACATGCAGACAGAACACTGTATACATAATAAATAAATAAATCGGTAAAAAAAAAATTATCTTTTCTGGCTGGGTGGTGTTGGCACATGCCAATCTCAGCACTCAGGAGGC